AAGGAATCATAAAACCCACTGACAAATACCCCTTCCTCTTGGTTCATGTGGGAACCAATGACACTGCAAGCAATAGCCTCCAGAAGATCAAAAGAGACTACGAGGCTCTGGGCAGGAAATTGAAGCAATTAAATGCACAAATTGTCATCTCATCTGTCCTCCCAGTTGAACGACGTGGCCCAGGGAGAGAGGGGAAAATAGTGGAAGTGAACAGCTGGCTTCGCAAATGGTGTAAACAGGAACGGTTTGGATTCTTAGATCACGAGCTACAGTTTCTTGAAGATGGACTTCTGGCAAGCGACGGGCTGCACCTCACAACGGTTGGGAGGAATGTTTTTGCCAAAAATCTCAGAAACCTCATCAGGAGGGCTTTAAACTGACTAATGTGGGGGAGGGAGACAGTGCTCCTGAAGGTAGGAGTATCAATTGATGAAGGTGATCCTCCAAATGTCATAGACCAAATGGAGCAAACAGCACGCAGACCTAGTGGTGGGAGGAAAAAATCCTTAAATAAGAGACACGGGGGAATGATTAATGGACTTCAATGTCTGTACACTAATGTGCAAAGCATGGGAAAGAAACAAGATGAGCTTGAGCTCTTGGTACAGCAAACTAAATATGACATAATAGGCATCACTGAAACCTGGTGGGATAAGTCCCACGATTGGAATGTAATAATGGAGGGATACAATCAATTTCAGAGAAACAGACCAGACAAGAAAGGAGGAGGAGTGGCGTTATATGTCAGGGATGTGTATACCTGTGAAGAGATCCAAGATTTAGAACCTCAAAGCCAAAGTGAGAGCATTTGGGTCAAAATTAAGGGAGAGAAGAATAACAGTGACCTCATTGTGGGAGTTTACTATAGATCCCCAAGCCAAACGGAGGACATAGATGATGCCTTCCTGGAACAGATGGCCAAGCATGCAAAAGGAAGGGAGATAGTAGTAATGGGGACTTCAATTACCCGGATATCTGTTGGATGTCAAACTCAGCCAAGAGCATAAGGTCAAACAGATTCCTCACTGGCCTTGCAGACAACTTCATTGTCCAGAAAGTGGGAGAAGCAACAAGAGGAACAGCCATTTTAGATCTGGTCCTAACCAATGTTGATGACCTGGTTAGTGGGGTAGAAGTGGAAGGATCATTAGGCGCGAGTGATCATGCTCTTCTGAAGTTTACTATATAGCGGAAAGGAGCAGCCAAGCATACTAGGACTCAATTTCTTGACTTTAAGAAAGCCGACTTCATAAAACTTAGGGAAGTGCTGGGTGAGATCCCATGGACAGTAATACTAAAAGGAAAGGGAGTTCATGATGGCTGGGAGTTTGTTAAGAGGGAGATAGTAAAAGCACAACTTCAGGCAATACCAATGAGACAGAAACATGGAAGGTGCCTAAAGAAGCCAGGGTGGCTATCTAAAGAACTTTTAACTGAGTTAAGATTTAAAAGGATGTGTACAAAAAATGGAAAAGGGGGGAAACCACCAAAGAGGAATTCAAACAAATAGCCAGCACGTGTAGACACAAAGTCAGAAAAGCTAAAGCACAGAATGAACTCAGGCTTGCTAGAGAGGTTAAAAGCAACAAAAAGGCTTTTATGGGTATGTTCATAGCAAAGGAAGAACAAAGAAACAGTGGGGTCACTCAGAGGAGAAGATGGTGAAATGCAAACAGGGGACACAGAAAGGGCTGAACTCCTCAATGCCTTCTTTGCCTCAGTCTTCTCCGATAAAGAAAACAATGCCCGACCTGAAGAATTTGGAGCAAATGATTCAGCAGAGGAAACACAGCCCAGAATAACTAAGGAGATAGCACAAGAATACTTGGCTAGTCTAGATGTATTCAAGTCTCCAGGGCCAGATGAACTGCATCCAAAAGTATTAAAAGAACTGGCAGATGTGATCTCAGAACCACTGGCAGTCATCTTTGAGAATTCCTGGAGAACAGGCGAAGTCCCGGCAGACTGGAGGAGGGCAAATGTTGTCCCTATTTTCAAAAAGGGGAAAAGAGAGGACCCAAATAATTACCGCCCAGTCAGTCTGACATCAATACCAGGGAAGATTCTGGAGCAGATCATTAAGCAAACAGTCTGTGAGCACCTAGAAAGGAATGCTGTGATCACCAATAGTCAGCATGGATTTCTGAAAAATAAGTCATGTCAGACTAACCTGATCTCGTTTTTTGACAGAATTACAAGCCTGGTAGATGAAGGGAACGCAGTGGATGTAGCCTACCTTGATTTCAGCAAGGCATTTGACAAGGTGCCCCATGATATTCTTGTAAAGAAGCTGGTAAAATGCAGTCTTGACTATGCTACCACTCAGTGGATTTGTAACTGGCTGACTGACCGAACCCAAAGGGTGCTCATCAATGGTTCCTCTTCATCCTGGAGAAGAGTGACTAGTGGGGTGCCACAGGGTTCTGTCTTGGGCCCGGTCTTATTCAACATCTTTATCAACGACTTGGATGATGGACTCAAGGGCATCCTGATCAAATTTGCAGATGACACCAAATTGGGAGGGGTGGCTAACACCCCAGAGGACAGGATCACACTTCAAAACGACCTTGACAGATTAGAGAACTGGGCCAAAACAAACAAGATGAATTTTAACAGGGAGAAATGTAAAGTATTGCACTTGGGCAAAAAAAATGAGAGGCCCAAATACAAGATGGGTGACACCTGGCTTGAGAGCAGTACATGTGAAAAGGATCTAGGAGTCTTGGTTGACCACAAACTTGACATGAGCCAACAGTGTGACGCGGCAGCTAAAAAAGCCAATGCAATTCTGGGCTGCATCAATAGGAGTATAGCATCTAGATCAAGGGAAGTAATAGTGCCACTGTATTCTGCTCTGGTCAGACCTCACCTGGAGTACTGTGTCCAGTTCTGGGCACCACAGTTCAAGAAGGACATTGACAAACTGGAACGTGTCCAGAGGAGGGCAACCAAAATGGTCAAAGGCCTGGAAACGATGCCTTATGAGGAACGGCTAAGAGAGCTGGGCATGTTTAGCCTGGAGAAGAGGAGGTTAAGGGGTGATATGATAGCCATGTTCAAATATATAAAAGGATGTCACATAGAGGAGGGAGAAAGGTTGTTTTCTGCTGCTCCGGAGAAGCGGACACGGAGCAATGGATCCAAACTACAAGAAAGAAGATTCCACCTAAACATTAGGAAGAACTTCCTGACAGTAAGAGCTGTTCGACAGTGGAATTTGCTGCCAAGGAGTGTGGTGGAGTCTCCTTCTTTGGAGGTCTTTAAGCAGAGGCTTGACAACCATATGTCAGGAGTGCTCTGATGGTGTTTCCTGCTTGGCAGGGGGTTGGACTCGATGGCCCTTGTGGTCTCTTCCAACTCTATGATTCTATGATTCTATGAAATACTACATGAATTGAAGGGGGTTGGACTGAAGATTCAACAAAAATGGAAACTTTAATGGACCAGCTAAAGCCTCCAGGAAGGTCGAAGTTTGACATAAATGTTGTGGAGAACTGGAGAAGGTGCATTGTAAGTGGAGCATATAAGAAAGATGAGAGACTTCACTCAAATCATCTTCAGTTTCATGACAATGGATAAGGCAGAAAGAGAGGGGGGGGAATTCAAGTGTTGACTATTGCATTAGAAACTCTGCTCCTAGGAACAACTGTTGCATATGAAAAGCAGCACAAATTCTTCAAATCAGAGAGAGAATAGCTGAGGGCCAAGCTAGATTCAGCGGTTCGAATCCCCACGACGGGGTGAGCTCCCGTTGCTCGGTCCCTGCTCCTGCCAACCTAGCAGTTCGAAAGCACAAAGTGCAAGTAGATAAATAGGTACCGCTCCGGCGGGAAGGTAAATGGTGTTTATGTGCGCTGCTCTGGTTTGCCAGAAGCAGCTTAGTCATGCTGGTCACATGACCCGGAAGCTGTACACTAGCTCCCTCGGCCAATAAAGCGAGATGAGCGCCGCAACCCCAGAGTCGTCTGCGACTGGACCTAATGGTCAGGGGTCCCTTTACCTTTACGCGCTGAGACATGGTGTGCAGGGCACAGGGGGCTTTAAACCTCCTCCCTCCCCCCACTTTGGTCCTGACTAGAAATGGGGAGTCCAATGGGAACAAGCTCTGCCCCTTCCCAACTGCAGTAAGACCACCATGATGGGAGAACAAAGCCAATTTTGCCACCCACAACCACCTCATGCCATAGTTCTTACACTATTGGTTCTCATTAAAGGTAAAGGTAAAGGTACCCCTGCCCATTTGGGTCAGTCTTGCCAGACTCTAGGGTTGTGCACTCATCTCACTCTATAGGCCGGGAGCCAGCGCTGTCCGCAGACATTTCCGGGTCACGTGGCCAGCGTGACAAGCTGCATCTGGCGAGTCAGTGCAGCACACAGAATGCCGTTTACCTTCCCGCTGGTAAGCGGTCCCTATTTATCTACTTGCACCTGGAGGTGCTTTCGAACTGCTAGGTTGGCAGGCGCTGGGACCGAACGACAGGAGCGCACCCCGCCGCGGGGATTCGAACCGCCGACCATGCGATCGGCAAGTCCTAGGCGCTGAGATTTTACCCACAGCGCCACCTGCGTCCCACTTGGTTCTCATTACTTGCTTACAAATATTGTACCACAGGGCTAACCACATGGCAAATGTCATGTCTAGCTTGGCCCTGGTTTAAAGCTCCTTTGCACAAACCTGTGAATTTGGGGAGCTTTGTGCATTGCTTATTAAAATATGGTTACCAGATTTTATTTTATTTTTGAAGCTGAGTAGCAACAGGGAGTCAGTAGTGGGGATGGTGAGGCAAAAGACCCTGGGCCCAGGCACACATGCATATTGTATAAAGGTGCACAATCCTTCTTTCGCACCCTGTGAAACATAAATGCACAGAGTTTTCTTAAAAACTGGGCAATGGCCACCCACCCGCAACTGCCGAGCCTCCCCCGATCAGTCAAAACAAAGGGGGAAGGGAGCAGGAGATCTGTACCGCCGGACATCCCCGGTTCCCCTTTGGCAGTGGCGGTAGCAGCGGCAATCAGCAGCCCGAAGCCAGCCTGAGCCAACTGCCCTACCAGGCTGGCTCCGGGCTGCTGAGGCTGCTGCTGCCACATTTCCTGGGGACAGATTTGCAAATCTGGGGACATTCCAAGGACGGAATTTGTCCAGGGACAGATTTGCAAATCCGGGGCTGTCCCCAGAAACTGGGGACATCTGGTAACTCTTTATTAAAATCATATTGCATGTGGCATAAAGTCAGAAAGGATTAGAGTCAGGCAGATCCACGTATGCTGTGGATCTTACCAGATTGATCTAACCCTGGAGTAGGCATAGAATAGTAGGCAGGTCTAAGGAAACTGCTGCAAAGCTGATGATTGAGCTGGACGACTTACAAAAATGTTGTTTTTTTAATACCAAAACACAGGGTTTTCTTACAAGTATTGGAGTGGGCAATTAGCTTGCTCTACAGGGTAAAACAGTGCATTTTGGTGGGCAACATATTTACTGGTAAATTAGTATTACTCCGATTTATAAGATTTAGCTGTCTCCTTTATTTTCAAACTTCATCCACATTCTGCTCATCCAAAGAACATTATGCTTAGTTTCTCTCTTCAAATTGGGCGATGGAATTATCCAAAGAGGGGGGAATACATTGGATGGCATCCAACATTAATCAGAGTAGACCCAATGAAATTAATGGGCCTAGCTAACTAACTACATGGCTTCTATCATGTAGTTCAATAGCCTAAACAAATCTCTCTTATCTTCTAATTCAAATAGACTGCCCAAAGCTAAAAATAAATGCCCTGTTCCAACCAAGGAAATCCACATGCATAAACATGCATACATTTATGGTGACATAAATTAAATTAACATTCAAATGTGCAGCCCAAATGAAGATGCAATCTGCGTCACTGCAGTACTCTGGATGGGATGCACGTCCCAAAGTGTATTCAGATGCAAAACTCTATCTACATAGAGCTGGGCTACTCTTGCAACTCACACAAATGACTAAAGCTGGATTAGGGCCAAGGTTTGGTAATAGTCATTATGACCTATGAAAGTTGTTTGTAGGATCATGAACCTTTCAGTTACGGTGAAATGAGGGAAATTATTTTAACTTTTAGAATACTGGGATTAAATCCAATAGGTTCAAGACAAGCAAAATAAACAGAATTAATCCGCCTGAAAGAACAATATTAGTGATTAATTTTGATGGTGTATTTTTATTGTTTCTTAGTTTTTATAAGAGAAATGCATGCATCGACAATATTAGGCCTTATCATTCCATTCTGCCCTGATTGTTGGTTGAAATGTCCCCTTCTTCCTTTGGGGCAGTGGAATAAAGCAGTGTTAATGTGGAGAGCCTTCAAAAGACCAAGAGGATGATCACCTATGTGATGCATGGGCAATGTAAATCTAACAGCAGAGCTTATGTCAGGGGTCAGCAAACTTTTTCAGCAGGGGGCCAGTCCACTGTCCCTCAGACCTTGTGGGGGGCCGGACTACATTTTGGAAAAAAAATATGAATGAATTCCTATGCTCCACAAATATTATTTTTTTAAAAAAAATAATATTTATTAAAGTTTCAAAGGAAAAAAAATCACATTAATAAAAAAAATTAACAATAAAAAGGAAAAATACAAAGTAGAAAAAAAAGAAAAAACAGTTAAAAACAATTCCATCTTTTCATCACTTCTCTTATATTTATATGCTCCACAAATAACCCAGAGATGCATTTTAAATAAAAGGACACATTCTACTCATGTAAAAACACACTGATTCCCGGACCGTCCGCGGGCCAGATTTAGAAGACAATTGGACCGGATCCGGCCCCCGGGCATTAGTTTGCCTACCCATGGCTTATGTGGAGGCAGGAAGCAAACAACAGAGAACAATGGAGAGAACCTGAAGAGGCGTATATACCAATATGGTTGTGCGGTGTTAGAAACTGGAATAGAAAAGCTAGGAGCCAAATAGCTTCTGGGACCTGGGTTGTGGGCGCCAAATCAGAATGTCTAGTCGCCATTTGGGGGGGGGGGTGGCAACATTTTTTATTAATTATTTTGATAAGCATGAATTAATTCGCAGTTCACATAAGTGACACATTGTTAATATCACATTTTTAGCAGAAATTGTTATTACATGTTTAGTGTGGTGTTTACAATAAAAATATTGGCACCATACTTCAGTTTTCAAAGCACTCTACTCTTATTGTTACTCTTTAACATATTGCCTATGCTTAACATACTCTTTGAGGTATCAAAACTCATACATCTCAGTAATCCTTGAGTGTCAGCCAGGTGCAAAAAATGGCACCCAGACTTTGGGAGGTGCTCGCAAATGGAGAAACTTTAGGAGCAAAATGCACCTGGCTCCCTGCTAATTTCGAACCTTGCGGTTGTGAGATGCCACAAAGGAAGAAGAAATGCATCCAATATATGCACAGCTTGAAATATTAATAAGTGTATTATTACAAGTACAGCTATATGCTGCTACAGCACTACTATCCTTAGTTATCTGCAGATATTCTCTTTCCTTTAGCAACTCTGTCCTTTCTCCCCCTACGAACCCCTGTGTGATGCACCTTGTTTTCTTCCTTCAGCTAAAGTATTTGATAATTTCTGCGCTTATTGTTAACAATTGTGAATAACATCAATAGATGCAATGATGAAAATAGTCCTTATGCATTTCATTAAAGTAGGTTTGCCTAGCTAGTGAATTGGCATTCATAGCTATTAATGAATGTATCATGATTGCATGCTTAAACTATATAATACATGAATTACGTAGTTATTCCATGTACTTTAAATATGCTATGTTATCTGCTGATAGCATATGGTGGGTTGGAGAAGGACCCCAAGGCTATATTTTGCCCTGGGATCCAGGTTATCTCTCTGCAGCCTTGCAATTTTCTTTCCGATCGGGACATAATTTTTTTCATTGCTATATCACCCAAACTATTCTATTGGAAATATTTTTCTTCCATTACTGATCTTATTGAGGAATTTCTGATAAGTTTCTAATGTATCTCAGGGTCTCCTACAGTAGGGTTGTTGTTGTTTTTAAGGGACGCAGGTGGTGCTGTGGTCTAAACCACTGAGCCTGTTGGGCTTACCAATTGGAAGTTCGGCGGTTCAAATCTCCATGACGGGGTGAGCTCCTGTTGCTCTGTCCCAGCTCCTGCCAACCTAGCAGTTCAAAAGCATACCAGTGCCAGTAGATAAATAGGTACTGCTGCGGCAGGAAGGTAAACGGTGTTTCTGTGCGCTCTGACTTCCATCACAGTGTTCCATTGAGCCAGCTCCCTTGGCCTGAAAGCAAGATGAGCGCCACAACCCCCATAGTCACCTTTGACTGGACTTAAATGTCCAGGGGTTGTTTACCTTTACCTTAGAGTAGTTTTTAAATCTCTGTCATAGTAAAACGTTCTATTAGTGGCCATGGAAGCTGCCAAAAAGCAAACCAGTGTCCCAACAGTTGATGGGAATCGCGCTTTGGCTGGATCTAATAATTTCTGATCTTTTAAATACTTTTAATAGCCCCTGTTCTTAAATTCCTATTCTTTTAAAATAACACTCTTCCTATCCTTGATGCAATGTCACATTCGAAGACCATAAGCTATGTTACAGTTTCCTCCAAAATAGTATTTACCAGTTAAGAGGATACAAAGAGATATGATAGCCATCTTCAGATATCTAAAGGGCTATCACATGGAAGATGGAGCAAGCTCTGGAGAGCAGGACCTGAACCAATGGATTCGAGCTACAAGAAAGGAGATTCTGACGAAAATTCAGGAGGATCTTTCTGATGGTAAAAGCTATTCAACTGCAGAACGGACTCCCTCGGAAAGTGGTGGGCTCTCCTTCATCAGAGGTTTTTCAACAGAGGTGGGATGGCCATCTGTCATGGATGCTCTAGTTGAGATTCCTGCATTGTAGGGGGTTGAACTAGATGACCCTTGGGGTCCCTTCCAATTCTACAATTCTATGATTCTATTATTCTAAATTATTATTGAACAGCATCCGAGGTTTCATCCATGTCATACATTTAAAGCACATTTCTACCACATGAACAGTGATGGCATCCCCCCAAGAATGTGAGGAACTGTGGCCAGTTTTCCATGGGGGAAGCCTTGTGCTTTAAATGTATGGTATGGATGTTGCTCTCAAAAGAGTCAAGTGTATCTGTGATGCCACAGATACAGGATGGCTGCAGAACTGTCCGCCTTACCTAGACATCTCTTTACAAAGAGTTGTTCCAAAGGAGGAAACGTGGTACCATGAGAGATGGGCCAATAGCTTTGAAGATTCCACACTGAGGGTCACTGCATTGTTTGCCTTGTTAATGTGTTTACTCAATTATAGTGGCGCCAGGTTGTCCCACCTGACTTGAGGTTGTGCATGCATTTTTCATAATAAACTTTCATGTCTTAGTTTTATATCTGCCCATAAAACATTGCTGGAGGCAGATCCATGGATGCGGCCTACTTGGTCCAAATATGGAAGGTGGAAAAAGAAAAAAAACCCCACTCCGTATATATGAAATTCAAAAGAGCAACATTTGCAAAGTTGGTGTTTCAGAACTGTATACTTTTCAGTGGCCTAAAGTCATGTTGTGTCTGCATTGCAGGAATAAGGTGCTTGAAGGAAAGACAGCATCTTTCATGAGTTCTGATAGCTTCTTCTGTCACACAGACTCTCTAACTGGAAACCCTCTGAAATGTTTCTTTGTCATTAAGCTGTTAAAGGCATGGAGCCGCAGCACAGGTATAGGGAACCTTTGACCTTCCATACAATGCTCAACTACAACTCCCATCATTCCTGGCCATTGGCCATGCTTGCTAGGGCTGGTGGGAGTTGTAGTTCAGCAGCATCTGGAGGATCAAAGGTTCCCCACACCTTCTCTAGCAGGAAAGAAGAATGGCAACCCAACTTTTAGTTGTGGTCCTGGGCTTTCAGCAGCAGATGCCAGGAGAATCCTGAGGTACTAGATTTTTGATCTGGGTCAGCCAATGAGTGGATCAGTGTGGTGCATCCAAACAGGTTGAACTGGCTTTTTCTGTGATTCCTTTGCCTTTCCTGATCTCTCCTTGTTACTGACAGGACCAGACCATCTTTCCTTCCTTTGCATTTGGCTCTTCATGAGAATCAGGGGGAAAACCCCACTGAGATAGAAACGGGTGGGGGAAAATCTGTTCTACTCATTTTAGCATTTTAAAAAATAAAAATAAATGTTTGTTTGTTTGTTTGTTTATATCCTGCCGTTCTGGAACTCAAGGGTTTCCAGGTGATAGCCTTCTAGCCAGGCACAGACCAGACCTGCTTCGCTTGAGAAAGGTTGTTGCATCATGCATAGCTCAGCCAGCAGAGCATGAGACTCTTAATCTAAAGGTCATGGGTTTGAGCCCCATGTTGGGCTAAAGATTCCTGCATTGCAGGAGGTTGGACTGAATAACCCTCATGCCCCCTTCCAACTCTACAATTCTAAGATTCTATGTCCCCTTAGACCATGTCCTTTACTGTGTATTGTCCATGTGTTGTCACTGAGTTAGCTAGTGAAATGGCCAAATAAAAAGTTGGCCTTTGGTGTACAGTGGTACCTTGGGTTACAAAGGCTTCAGGTTACATACGCTTCAGGTTACATACTCTGCTAACCCAGAAATATTACCTTGGGTTAAGAACTTTGCTTCAGGATGAGAACAGAAATCGTGCTCCGGCGGCGCAGCAGCAGCAGCAGCAGCAGCAGCAGGAGTCCCCCTTAGCTAAAGTGGTACCTCAGGTTAAGAACAGTTTCAGGTTAAGAACAGACCTCTAGAACGAATTAAGTACTTAACCCGAGGTACCACTGTGTATGGGAGGTTTCTTCTGCTCATGGGAGGCCTGTTGAGTAGAGGTGGGGAACCTCAGGCCTGGGGGCCAAGTGTGGCCTTCCAGGACTTTATCCAGCCTCAGGACACTCTCTAGGTCACATACTCTCCCCAAATCACACCCCCTCACAAGTGCTTTTACTTGGCTAGAATGTGTCCCTGACCTGTGATTATGCCTCTGGTTTACCAGGATGGAGAAATGTGTGTGTGTTAGAAATCTCTGATTTGTTTAGCTGTAATATCGCTTACAACTCAGAGGCAAGAAAAGTTGCATCCACTGCTGTAACCAATTTTGCCTTTGGCCCTGCACATCACAAGCATGTGGCCCTCAGAAAGCTCCACGTGAGGGATTGTAGCCCTTGTGTCAGGAGTGAACTGGCAGTGAATCGCACCATGCGAACTGGAGTTAGCTCTTTATTAGCAAGAACACAATCTGCCCAGACTTGGCAGAGCATCCGGCCTAATGAACACAGCAGCTCATCCCCAGCTGGTCTTGCCCCATGAATCAGTTGCCGAAAGTCCCTGCTTCTCCAGGGTTTCCCCGAGCAATCAGAGACTGTGTCTGCATTTAGCCAACCTATCCTCTGCCCTTTTTATGCCTCTTCTGGTTTTGGGAGACCAGGGTCACAGTCGGAGGGGGGAGAACCTCTTCTCCCTCTGATCACTCATTGTTGTTCCACCACCACTCCCTGAGTTCCAAGGCTTCTTCCCTTGGTGGTTCCCCAGCTGGTTCCTCCCACCATCCCTCTGCATCCAACCATTTCATGACACCTTCGGCAGAAAAGGTATCAAAACAAACAAAATTTAAAAATCTCAAGAATCGGAACAAGAGCTTACACACTTTTGCACAAGCCTGAGGTTTTCCATAAAAACTGCTATAGCATTCTGTTAACTCTTGCTCAAGCTCTTATGTTGGCATTTGTGGAACAGTGCTAGTCACAGAGCAGTATTTTCTCTCTGTTCACAGTTCTTTGAATCCAGTTCAGTGCTTATTTATCTTGGGCCATTGCTCAGTTTGTAGACATGCCAACTTCTTTTCTTTTTTAAAAAAATATCGCTGCTCTTGTATCTTTAACAGCCTCCTGGCACACGCAAGTTAAGCATCTGAAGGTTTTATGTGATGTGCAAGAGAGATGTTTTGGGGACAGCTTCTCCCCTTTACATTTTGCATATAAGGCTTCTGTTAGCCAGCAGAAAATGTTGGCGGCTCTTTGAAAGACCTTCAGCCCTTTATATACTGTTCAAAGCTCTTTGGCCTGAGGGTAGGAAAGGTATATTAAAACAAACAAACAAGCAAACAAAGCAGCTGTCATGTCATTCATTACTGAGAGAGGTTTTAACAGAGCAAACTCTCTTGGTGAATGATTCACAATGAGTCACACTTTTGCTTTCAAGATAACTTGATAGCTTACTCTTTCATCAGCAGAAGTTGGGCCTATAAAAGTTACCACACGATGACTTTGCATATACAATCTTTAACATATGCAGACTCTTTTGCAGAGCAAGGGAGGAGGCGTCTGCTTCTGGCATTGGCCCATACGTGTTCATCTTTGTCTGTCTGCATTTGGCTGCTGCGTTTGCTGGTCTATAATTGATAATAGGGTTTAACAAGACAAACACAAACATGGCTTCAAAAGGATTTAATTCTACCGCCTTAATTAAAGGGCACACATCAATTAAAACGTAAATGCTTGCTGCCCCAGGGCCAACAGAGAAGGCTGGGCTCCCTGCTACAAGCACAGCTTTCCTTCTTGCAGAACTGGAGCTTGGCACATCTTACATCTCCTAGAGAGGAATGGTGCTCAAGTTGAGAGGTTAGCAGGGCCCATGTTCAGTTGCAAGCTTGGCAGTTACCTCTGCTTTTGTCTACTTCTTGGTTTCTTGAGCCCTCTCAGATAACCATGAATTAAAGTGGATTAAGCGGATTACATCTGGGCATGCCCTACAATAATCCTGTGAATGCTCTAGATTCTATGGCCAAGTTAAAATCTAGTATACCACCCCCACTAAGACTTCTGCAAGCTGGGTAGGATTCTGGACAAACCAGAATGGTTTAATAATCAATCTGTCTCCACAGGGAACTCTGGAAATTGTGGCCCTGTGAGGAGAATGGGGGTCTCCTAGCAACTCTCAGCACACCTGACAAACTACAGCTCCCATAATTCTTTGGGGGAAGACCTGACTGCTTAAAGTGGTATCATAGTGCTGTATGATGTAAATGTGGCCTCAGTATTGCCCTTGTAGAATGAGCAGGGAGGCGGATGGGAGCATCCTCTGCCTCCCATTGGCTTTCCATTGGCTTTCCTGCCTTCTGCCCTACTGTCCCCTGGGGCACCAAACATGACTAGAAACTTCCTATGATATAGTAAGGGTTTCTCTTTCTATATCTGTTTTGGGAGAAGATCATTACAGCTTCCCTAATATTTTACAGACAGGTTTGAGAATACTTTGTGGTTTTCTCATTAAACCCATGTTCTGATTTGCTAAAAAAATGTGAGCAAGCGAGGTGCTTACATGCTTCTTTCCAGAAAATGCATGTCTGCAAATAAAATGTGATTTATGAATGACATGCACATTTTAAATTGCATAATAACACCAAACTCTCCCAACCAGCAATTTTTGTTGTTGTAAAACACAAGTTGCGCTTAAGATTTTGCTGACATGGCTCTCGTAGCATGGTGTATTTTTTGAGTCTGTACTGTCATCAAAGGGAGAAGGCAAAAGAAAATGAGTCATGAAGGTAATTTATAAAAATTAAGGAACAGTGGCAAAGAAGGACAATGTTTTCTTTTGCTGTAGTACAAATGCTCCTCCTGAGTGTACAATTATGAGCCAGTTGTCCTGGTGCCAGCCTAGGGAAGTATAAGAGTTAGGGTTGGGCAGCTGGGATTCAAGCCAGGATGTGTTTTAGTCATAATCATAGGACACCTGATCTGCAACTTTGCTATTAGATTGAAGATTTTACACATGGCTCTGTTTCCCTCCCAAGCTTCTTTGGTGTAAGCAATGAAACTTTTCTGTAAATCTCTAAAATGTAGAGTCCACCACGATTGTCAGTAAAGTTTGGTGTATATTTTGAAATGAAGCTTAGAAAACAATGAAAGGAAGGATTACCAAGAGCATAAGAATATAAGACATCCACATAGCTTTGCTGGATCAGGCCAAAGGCCCATCTATTCCAGCATCCTGTTTTCACAGTGGCCAACCAGATGCCTGTGGGATGGGAAGTCTGCAAGCAGGACATGAGTGCAACAGCATTCTGGCCACATTTAGCAACTGTTAATAATGAAGCAAATCATGTATCACATCAGGTAGTCCTTTCAAAGTCACAGATGTCCAAGGCCTTCATATCCATAGGGGGAAAGTACCTTTGAAGAATAGTATCTCAGGTTATGGTAGTCAAGGAATGAAAGGACCGCATGGGACATAAAGGGATACATATTTGCCCCCACATTTCTTGAGAACTTCTTTTTATTTAGGATGCAATTCTATGGTCCTCAGGGGGGAGTCTTATGGATCATAGAATAGGTAGGATCTACCCTTCTGATGTTGGAAACAGAGTTCTGATGTCAGAGGCACAGAGCCTTTTGTCCTGTTGGCAGATTTTTGGGGACTCTAGCCCAACCACTTAAAGCTATGGTTTTCCCAGTAGTGATGTATGGAAGTGAGAGCTGGACCATAAAGAAGGCTGATCGCTGAAGAATTGATGCTTTTCAATTTTGGTGCTGGAGGAGACTCTTGAGAGTCCCATGGAATGCAAGAAGATCAAGCCTATCCATTCTTAAGGAAATCAGCCCTGAGTGCTTACTGGAAGGACAGATCCTGAAGCTGAGGCTCCAATACTTTGGCCACCTCATGAGAAGAGAAGACTCCCTGGAAAAGACCCTGATGTTGGGAAAGATGGAGGGCACAAGGAGAAGGGGACGACAGAGGATGAGACTGTTGGACAGTGTTCTCGAAGCTACTAACATGAGTTTGACCAAACTGCGGGAGGCAGTGGAAGACAGGAGTGCCTGGCGTGCTCTGGTCCATGGGGTCACGAAGAGTCGGACACAACTAAACGACTAAACAACAACAACCCAACCAGTGTCAGAGCTCTGACATCTGTAAGGCTGAAAGCAGAGCATGTTTGAGGATTGCAAGGCACCAGCTTGGATTTGAAGGATCCTGGTACCCTTACACGTCCCCAAACCAAGGAGTACTTTAGTCACTTTCCTAAATGTGACTAAATCTCTCTGTCTCTCCCATTATTTCCATTGGGAGGGTAAACATTTCTTAAGCAGGAAACAGACAGAAAAGCAAGCTCATTCCTCCCTGGTGGCTTGAAACCAGCAGGGTACCAGCAGAAGACACGCCTTTGCATTTGAACCCATAACACAGACCTTAGGATTGCAGCTTTATTTTTAATGGTATTCATATACATTTTCAGGCGGTGTACAAAAATATATTAATAGAACATAAATAACCCATCATTCAAACTACAGAAGGAGCAGAGCATGAAAAGAGCAGACCGAAAAACAAAAGGAAGTTATTCATGCACTTTGAAAAAAAT